TTAGACATTTTTCGGTGCAGACTGCATTCTTTAATGTATTTGCACACAATTTCTGCCAGACAGACTCTTTTTTATCTGCTAACTCCCAAATCAGCGTTCACATTCCAAAGTTGACCAAACATGAAAGAGGGTTTATGAAGAATTAATTCTTATAACCAAACCATACAATAGCTTTTTATTAGAATTTCTAGTGAATACCAATACAAGTAATTCTTTTTCTAATTCAATATCGTTGATTACCTAATTAACTTCTATGTTATGAATGACATCAAAGTAGGTCTATTTTCATAAAAATTGTATGTCGATGAATTGAACCGTATCTCCATTCATTAAAAGAATAAAAGAAAAGGATAAAGAAGCTGCTACAGTACAGTGCCTGCTCGGTCATATTGAAATTAATTTCCTTAGCTGCTATAAATACTATAAGGATTCACCAGCAAACAGTTGTTCATATTGATTTTTGTGAAAAATGTTAAAGTCGACTTTTTTGTACCTTGCATATAAGGGAGGAAAAAGACCAGTTCAGGAAATTCAAAATACAATAATCGCTACTGATGCCAGAGAAGATGAAATAAGTGGTTTTCAATGTTACGAGGCTGAGAGTAGTCTCGCGTTTAAATACCATAACTTATTGAAGTCTATCTGTCGATAATAACGAGATTTTGCAGCCAGAAGATAACAAGTGCTAAATGATGACATATCAGTGAAAATGATTGCAGATGTCGGCAGCTTAATGAGAATGTAACACTTTTAGGATTACGTGGAAATAAGTCTGATAATGAACATGTTTTTTTCAGATCTTTACTGTAAGGTTTCACGTAGACAAGAAAGTCGAAAACAACTACAGATAATCATTGCGCAGTTGCGATTTTTAAACAACTTTATACTAGAACAATGTGCATGTACTTATAAATAATTAAGATTGATTAATATTTTGTAAATCTATTTCGTCAGAATTCTTATCGAGGATAACAAGGTTGAGTTGTAAACATCCAGAATTATGAAGAAGAGAAAGTTAATGTCACTTTCTATTAATCACTGTCTATTAATATACATGTATGTAGAAGACAACAAAATAAAATACAAAATCTAACCCACCCACCCCCCCAAAAAAAATCTTTATATCTACCTTCTTGTTAGAATCGGATTTCTTTTTCTTCCGCCTTTTTGATGAACTATTTCTGCTTAAACTTCCACTGGTGACAGAACTTTCCCTGGAATGTTGCTGGCGGTAGGCAGAAGACTTCTGGTTTCCAGGAACCCCGCCATGTGCAACAGTATCCAAGGTCATATAACTATAAGCGACACTTGTCATCTTATTCTTTGCGCAGTTCACAAAATCATCAAATATCAACATACTATTTTGCAGGCTTTAGGCACCATTGAACAAATAGGAATCACTATCATTCAAATTCATTCACTCGCGATCGTATATTCTATGTAATTCCAGTACTAAACATCTAAATCGAATTAGGAAGTGCAATAACAGATAATTATACTTCGAAGCAAATAAACACTACATATCCACGGTAGATTTTTTCAGCAGAAAGAAAAGTAATGAAGAAACGAATATGAAAGTAATTATCTACGAATATCAACAATGTTTAACCAACAATATGGCGCACTGCATAATTTCTGTCAAATGGCATCAAAGGTTCAAATAAGCGGCAATGGTTGTGATGAAGGGAAACCTGTAGATGCTGTTTTTACTGATAACATATGTCAAACAAATCGCGCTATTATTAGAATAGCGTGTAATAGAGATTCTGGCAGAATCTACAAAAATAGCCGCAGTTGGGGGAGTGTTACCATGGTTACAAGGACGCCAAGAGAGTCTTTGCAGGAACTGTGTAAACCTTGACCGCAAGGTCGCACCCCAGATGAAATTAACATTGACGTTTATTGCAGCGGCATTTTACAAAAATCAATGCGCTGCAACCGATAAATTCGTTATTACCTCCGATATTATTATCAAGAAATTTGACATTTTGTTTTTTGCCCATCTTATATCTCTTTATTAGGTGAGGTGGTGTAGTTGTCTGAACATTAATACATTTAACTATTTCCTGAATGCTAGCACTCGGTGCTGGCTGCAGGCCGGTCTTTGTGCAGTCTTTGTACTGTAAGACTATTATGCAAAACGTTGGACATTATCTTTTCGTTCAGTTATAAAATAATTCTATACACCCAGCTCGTGATAAAAATATATATATTTTTGGTCTTTGGCCTGAGGAGATATCGTGCAAAATTTCACGAAATTCATCATGGCAATTTGGAAATTAAATTGTGAGAGAATTCTACGTTTTGGCAAATTTGTAGAAAAAAGACAAATTATGCATCTTTTAATCGACAGCAGCAAATATACATATCCTTCAAGCTTCTGCTAGCTATTTATGATTGTAAGAACTTGATCCGTGTCGGCAGATACTTGAGATACCTTGATCTTTGTGTTATTCCCCTACAACCTCTCCATGTTTGTTGTACCAGATGCTGTAATACAAAGATAATCCACTTTCGTTTTTAAGCATTTCTTTTGTGCAGAAGTGAAGTGATATGGTAGTGTTAAGAAAACAATCATCGTATTAAGCATTCTTTCTTATATTTTTCTAGTACTACAAGGATTTTCAATTCTATGTCCATTGTTGCTTTTTGGTCTGTGAAACCTGTCCGAAAAAAAATATGGTTCGAGTCGCAATATAGTGTAAACTTCTTAAACAGTTTTTCATCTATGTTTAAAAAAATTATAAAGCAAAGCAGAGATTAAAAACTGTAAAAATTGTAGTTAATGTCATTATTGTGCTGTATGTCAATGCTCTACGACAAATTAAAACTTATCTCAATAATAAACTTACATTCGATAATTTTCTATTTATTAAGGTAAAAAGATGTTTCCTACTTTTGTATAAACGTAACTTCTCATCAAATCCTAGAACAAATTTTGACATACCAACAATGATTATGCATTCTGAATTCTAAACAGCCATGTTCAATATTATAAAGTGAAAAAATATGACTATGCAATATGAAAAATTGAAGTTGTCTTTGTTTCAGTATTTTTGATTAAGTTATATATGAAAATGTAAGTTTGAAATAATTGATAAAATAAATTATCTAAAATACATTACTAGTACAATGATGTAATTTGTTTCAGTTCTTATAAACAAGATTCAAATCTTATACTAGAAGATGGTACCCATGTGAATCTTGATTTCTAAACTACAGGGAAAGTTCATTTTAAATGATATTTAAAAAGAATATTGATGCCACTTTATTACAATCTAATACATTTATTTAAAAAAAACATTACTATTGAAAATGATAGTTTATTCAAAATGAAGTTTTCCTAGAACAAACTAGTTCAAAAAGGAGTATGGTTAAGATATGAAAATAATTAATCATTCCATTAGGATTTTGATAAGTATAGTGTAAGATTATTTTTGAAATGATACTAGAGGTACTGCTTTGTTTCCAAACGATACTAGATGTACCATCTTCAATTGCATTCCCCTATCACCTCAATAAGACAAGTCAATTAGGCTCGACTTAGAATTATAGTGAAGTTCAATCTCTACTAATCTGTCTTTGCAACTACTAGCTTTATACCTGGGGACCACTGATTAACCGTAGTGCCGTGTCCATTTATTTTTATATCAGTACACTAAAAACAGGATTTGTCCATAGATAAACGCCATTCATTTGAGAATAATTGCTCTTATACTGTGGCATTACCGAAATATACAGCTACCGTAACGTGTCTATGAATTAATATTGTAAACATTTTAATAAGTTTTTATTTAATTATGACATAAAAGGTTTCAATGGGTCTAAATTGAAATGATGACAACTATGGATTCTTATGGAAACAAGTTGACGTAAATTAAGATAATTTTCCCTTCCAAAATACTGATATTTCAAAAAAAAAACAAAAAGACTATCATACGTAATTAAAGTGAAGATATTAACTATTGTAAACTTCAGCAATCGAATCTTGTCAGTCTGTATTTACCTTCCCAAGTTTGATAAAATCATATTTGTTCGGAAAAAAACTGCCATGGAGTAAATTATCATTTTTTTCAAAATGATAAATTTAAAAGTATTTCCATTTTGCGAATAAAAGTAAAATGTTGTGTTTAACTTTAGTTAACTGAAGTATTTCGAAAAAAAAAATCGTATTTTTATTAAAGCTACATGCATTACAAGACCCATCATACCAAGGCGTGGTGAATGGGCGTCTCTTGTGGCTTAATCTTAGTAAACATGATCTAGATAATAAACAATTGTTGGACTACCATTCCCCCTTCTTATCTTTTCTGGGGGAAAGCAAGGCAAACTTTTCCCGATTAATATAAAGCAATTCATTTGAAAATTGGGATTGGATCACTTAAAAGTCACCCGAAAAACTTAACGCGGGTTTGTACAAGAATGACGGGAACTTTTTATACATGCATTGACTCTTATCATAATGGAAGCATCAATCAAAGAAAATGGTCCATGTTTTGTAGTTTAAGGTTTAACAATTTCACGTGAATAATCTGAGATTTCTTTCATAAGCAGGTAAGTGAGTTTTTTAAATTTATTAGGTAGAAATTTAATTTATAAATTTCATGAAATTTGTAATTTCAAAAAGTTTGAAAAAAAAATCAAAACTTTTAAATTATTTTTTAAGTATAGAAATAAACACAAATTTTCATACAAATACATAATTTCTGTTTATGTAAAAGAAAATATTTATTTGCATATTAACATTCATTAAATATATTTTCAATGAAGAATTTAAAAAGGTAAACTTTAAATTTTATTGTGCATTTGTTTTAAAACGAAAGAACACCGTCAAGTACTTATAACAAGATCAACAACACAAAATTTTGTATTTTCAGGGTGATGCTATCCATGGAAAAATGCATCTTAATGTAACCCAATTGTTGATCCTTGCACTAGTTTCATTTAAAATACAACAAAATAGCAATGTGTCTGCCATGTCTTCCACCATAAATGTAACTATGGCATTAGCTGAGAATGGTAATAATAGCCAAAGTACCAGAATTCCAGTGAATAGTGATGCCACTACAATGTCTACAATCTCCCCAATCTCCCAAACAGAAAGCGAAACCAGTGATATAACAAGTAGTATCCAAACAAAGAGTTTGCAAACGAACACTAATGGAACGACAAAGGGAAGTCAAGGATCCTTCACAGCACAGAAAACAACCATAGGGCAAATTCAGACCACGGAAATGGGATCTGTAGTACCTTCAATAACGAACAAATTATCAAAGAAACCGACAGACTTATCGAATCAAATAAATACATCATTCTTTATGATCCCCTCTACAACGACGTTACATGTGTCTTCTCCCTCTCATTCTTCTGAAATTCCGATTAAAACCACATCAACAGGTGCTATAAAGCCTTCAGAAACATTATCAACGACACAAATGTCCAGTAAAGAAACGAAACCAATTAGCAACACGTTATTGATCTCATCAGAGAAGACATCAACAAAACAAACGGACATCACTTCATATCAAAACAGGCAAACAACAGAAAACCATTTGAATAACGTTATCTCTCAAAATTATACGGAACAGAAATCAAATTTTGAGACATCAACGATCGGAATCACATCTTCACCATTTACAGTAATGAGATCTTCTACACCACATGTCATCCATTCGGAATCAACAACAGAAACTTCCACAACAAATATATTCAATGAGTCTAGCGTATCACAACCATCATTGAAAGCTTCTAAATCAATGATATTCGCAACAACACTCCCTTCAGCAGAAGCAAAATCAACCTCTCCATCAAAACAAACAATGTTGACTTCAGAAGAAATAAAGAAAACTACAATTAATGAGTCTGAAATGCAGGAAACAACTGTGAAAGTATCAGCTTCGCTTTATCCGAATATAATGCCCTCAATATCTACAGGGGAATCATCACGAGAAGTGAATTCAGTACTTCCACACCAAACTTCTCTCGAAACTTCGACTGAAAAAGACTTCACGTCTTCAACAACAAAACAAGCTTCTATAATATCCTCGAAGAAATCAACATTAGGAGTTACGAATGAATCATCAGTAGAATCATCAACAAATGACAATGAAAAATCCACGATTGCAACGTTAGTTCATGGCTCAAATCCACCTCTTACGCAGAGCTTATCAACAAAGAAGATACCTGGCATGAACACAACCACGAGCTTTTCAACAATACAAGTTAAAAGTTCACCTAACACATTCCACTCAGCAACAACAAAAACCCCAGAACAGACATCCTCCTTAGTGGTCGAATTGTCATCATCTGGTTTGACCACCAAGGACAGATATTCTACAACAGAAGTTCAGAGTGTACCGAACACATCCCAGTCAGTAACTTCAATGCCTTCAGAACAGACATCCTCCTTATTGGTCGAGCTGTCATCATCTGGTTTGACCACCAAGGACGGATATTCTACAACAGAAGTTCAGAGTGTACCGAACACATCCCAGTCAACAACTTCAATGCCTTCAGAACAGACATCCTCCTTAGTGGTCGAATTGTCATCTTCTGGTTTGACCACCAAAGACGAATATTCTACAACAGAAGATAAAGGTGTACGGAACACATCCCAGTCAGCAACAACCATACAATCGGAACAGACATCCTCTTTTGTTGTCGAATTGCCATCTGATGAAATGACTACCAAAGACGGATATTCAACAACACAAGTAAAAAGTTCATCTAACACATTTCAGTCAGCAAGAACAATACCTTCAACTTCCACAATATCGCCGAAAGTGAACACACAAGATTCTTTTACAGATATAACGAATGCATATCTCTCACGTGCTTCATCAACAACTGAAGAGTCATCAGAATTGGTAAGTGATAACACAACAACAATGTCCACAAAACAAGCTATCATTTCCATAACAACAAACACTACACTGGAGCCATCAACGGAAGGAAAAACATCGTCATCATCTGATGAAAGTACATTATTAACAACATTGTTAGGTATTGAATCTTCAACAACCGGTGACTCTACAGTAAACACGTTGTTTGTTACAAAACCAGAAACATCAAATGGTCAAAGAACACAAGACATTACAAATATGAATGCAGTAAGTCAGAAAATACATTCCACCACTGGAACACCTGCTTATAGCACAACATCGCTTTTAACCGAGGAAACCACGACAGAATCATCGGAGAAACACCCAATTTTAAACAACTATTCAATAACTAATAGTCAAGATACTCTAACAACTTTTCACTCAACTTCAACATCAAAGCCAGGCGAATCAACAGAAGCTCAGTACTCAACGACACATTCAATTCATATGTCATCATTTGGAAGCACTGATGAACAGTCTTTGACATCAAAAGAAAATGTTGCAATTACAACTGGTCAAATTTTATCTGTAGCCTCTTCCAAAACAAATACACAAGAATCACTATCAACTTCCGGTGAAATTCTTTATACATTACCAACAACATATGAAGGAGCAACGACTAAAAATAAATTAACAGAGAGTTCTTCCACAAAAATAGATGAGGGTTTTTCAACAAAAGAAGTTAACACTTTAACAACAGCTTTTCAATCAGCCATAACAACTTCTGAACAGATAGCATTGTCTACTGACGAATTTTCCAATGTATCTGCACAAACTTCATTCACAGAAACAAACTATGGATCAACAACCAAAGAATTGTCAGGTTTGACAGAAATTCAGACTACAATAACTACCGACCAACCAATTAAAACGAAAATTGTTACATTAGAAAACACTAAATTTACAGGTTCAACAGATGAAGAAACAACAATGTTTGAAATGCCCTCAACAGCTGGAACTGTTTCAGTAAATACGTTAGCACGAACAGAAAATCCAAACACTGACTTTTCATCAATAATAATTGACCTTTCGACGTCGAAGACCCAGAAAACGACTCCCTTAGAAAACCATATCACCACAGATGATATGAAAGAGACATCAACTGCCCAACAATCACCTAATGGCCATACTTACCATCCAGTACATTCTTCTACCATTAATGGACCAGACAATTCAAAAACGACTGAGGAATTATCAATACCCCATACAAAAGAAACCACGCCTTTTCAACAAAAAACAGTAAGAACCACAGATGATGTGTTCAAAGAAACAACTATGGAATTTATATCGACTTTTGAATCAACAAATTCAAAACCTATTTCAACTGTTTCTCCGTCTTCAGAGACGATCACCAGCTCGTTGAATGAAACAGATGTGACTTTGGTTACGACATCGATTCAGTATTCAAGTGTTTCGAAACAGTCAACTCAACATTTAGCAAAAGAGACATCTGTGCAACCTCCTGTCGGTGGACTTCTTACAACGATTAAATCAGGAACAGAAACAATTGAAACAACAACCGAAGATGTAGATACTGATGAAACCATAGACATTTCGACATCAAAGACTCAAGAAACGACTCCTTTAGAAAATCATATCACCACAGATTATATGACAGGTGCATCAACAGACGAACAAAATCCTAATGGTCATACTAGCCAACTAGTACATACTTCCACAATAAATGCACCTGACAATTCAGTAACCACTGAGGAATTATCAAAATACAATACAAAGGAAACCGTTCCTTCTCAACCAAATACGTTAAGAACGACAGATGGTGTGTTCAGTGAAACCACTGTGGAAGTTCTATCAACTTCTGAGTCAACAAATTCAAGACATAGTTCAACAGTTTCTTCGTCTTCAGAGGCAATCACCAGCTCGTTGAATGAAACAGATGTGACTTTGGTTACGACCTCGGGGCAGTATTCAAGTGTTTCAAAAGAGTCAACACAAAATTTAGCAAAAGAGACATCAGTGCAACCTCCTGTCAGTGAGCATTTAACTACGATAGCATTGGGAACAGAAGAAATCAAAACAACAACGGAAGATATGGATACCGATGAGACAATGATTCATAAAGAAACAACTTATTCTTTAGTAACTGATGTAACTTCTCAAAAGAATACAACGTTTTTGTCGAATCAACCAACGAGAGAAAATACACATTCTACTGCAACAATTTCTCCATTGGTATCAACAAATATCATTTGGAAATCAAGTACAGTCGCAAATCTTTATTCAACAAGTGATGCACAAATCTCAACGGTGACAGGAAAATCTTATCCAAATACGACACCACAAGGTTTATCTCAAACCACATCCATCCACAAGGACACAACTAATTCTTCTAATGCATATATAAACAATACAACCTCGAAAGAGGTATCTACTATCGTTTCCACAATCAAAGATAAAACTAACTCTACTTTCAATCCCCCTAAAACAACATTATTACCGACAGAGACGAGTCTCAGGGTGACAGAAGAAAACACGGTGCCTACGACTGTAGAATCAGCAACATCTGAAAACTCTAATGCTCCATCCAAAAACGCTTCGTTCAATCCCCTTGTTACTTCAAAACCAACTGCATCGAATATGCTCACAAGTATTTCCACTGATCAACCTGAAAAACCTGTTCAGACCATGGCTGTCCAGACATCTATAATTGTTAATGACAAAACATCTGAAAGCGTCATAACAACAAAAAGTCCCTCTATTCAAACAAGAATGACAACGGATATTAAGGAATCGAGCAAAATTACAACAAAAGACTTTTTATCTACTGATGCGTCTACTATACAAACAAAAACTTCAGAACCATTACCGACATCTTTAACACCAGTGACACAAACAGTGAATCTGACGACCACTGAATCAAATGGGACTCCAAATACAGGTATTTATTACATATAGTTATACATTAAAAAATATTTAATAAAACTCGTGAAAACTGCTTATTTTTATGCATTTCAAATGTACATGTATGCAAATTTGATTTCAGGGTCTGCCTACTTTGAATTTGAGATCGTAATTTGGATATCCGGAAAATTTAGTGCAAACCTTCAAAGAAACTCTACGTTTACGAATGAAATTATATACTTGGTAAGAATATGTTTGTAAAATAAAAACGACACATAGTTTCCAAATGATTCTGCTTTGCCTCTGAGGATATGTTAAGAGCCTGTTTTTCTCTTGTTCTAAACATTTCTTTCATTTTCTTTGCTTATTTTCCGGATTTCTTTTTCAATTGCAGGTGAAGAACAACTTCCTTCCTTTGCAATACCGGCAAAGTACCATTTTTAATCTCCAGGTTTTCGCTATAACGTAGGTTCACTTATGTAACTACTGATAGATATATAATTACAACGTGTACATATGGTTTTCGTTGCTTAAGTTTTGTATTTTTTACAGGGAGGGAAGCATTAAAGTACATGTACATTCGAAAGTCTTCGTTCAAACCTTGCGGCGGATGAACATCACAATAGGGGACCTTGTACGCAATGTAGTTCACCAGGTCGATTCTGTAGAGTTTTCTACCATAAGCACTTCCCAAGGAAATATTTATGACAACAAAGAAGATATAAAGAGAGCATTCATCAATCACGATAGTAAACCCTCTTTTCCACTTTGTCATTATTTTCTGAGGGAAAAAAAAAATCTTTTTCGTTGTAATTTTGTCGGAGATAATTAAGTGTTCTCCGAAACTGCTGTTCTCTTTCGTATTCACAAAGATATTTCTATCCCAACTCAAACTTTCTTCTGGAAAAATATTTTCAAATTAAACCCATACTTCGTTCCCATCATTAATGTGTAGTTAAATGACAAAAAAAAAAAGCTTCGTACTATAGGTTTTTAACGGAAATAAGCATTGTAACTGTGATTTATTACAGATGATACAGAATGTGAAGCAGTAGGTATTTGTGACACTACGGAAGATTGTACTTCGTCCGTCAACAATTATACCGCCATATTATGCAATCTGCACCGATTCGTCTGCTCTCTTGAATGTGGTCCAAATGGCGCATGTGTCAATACTAGTGGCATCTCTCATTGCAGGTACATGTACTAGTAGTACTAGAATATATTCTTGCATAGTTTCCAAGGACCGTTTCTGGTGCATGATATAATGTAAACTTTTTAATTACTTTCGTTGATGTTATTAACTGTATGTATATTTTGAAATACGTTCCATATAATTTTATAGTTCTATCAGCTTTATCAATTCCATAAATGGCACGTAACGATAATTACATGTATATATCATGTTATCAGCATATTTTGATACTAGGTTCATAGGAACAACTTTAAATGTAGAAATTGGAATTTTAATTCTCTGATGTTACATTTTAGATGCAACTCAGATTGGCTTAATATCTATTATGGTTTGAATTGCGAAAGTAGAGCTGTTTCTTTGGAAGCCCAACTGGGTATTACCTTCGGATGTCTTGGAGTTCTGATGATTTTTATATTCATAGGATGCCTTGTAAGATCTCGAAACAGAAATAAAGAAAGGTAACTCTCAAAATCGTTATTTCTCTAGCACGGTTTTAAAACTGAAATTTTACGATTTATAAAATTTTAAAAATGTTGCTTTATAGCTACTATGAGGACGATGGCATGGGAGGCTGGCGGGGGTTTAACGGCGGTGATTCCCGATGGTCGACGTTTTCGGGGAGATACTCTACTCGGGAGGTTCCATACAAAAGGTCCTTGCGTGATGGAAAATACTTGGTACCCGTAAGAAAGATTTTAATACTTGAAGTTCTAAAAGTTAAAGGCTGAGAAATTGACAAGGTTTCTATAAGATTTTTTAAGAATAAACAAACAGGCCATGGTTCGATCTTCCTACATATATGTTGTAAAAAATCCTTCTTTTTCGATTTGAAAGAGGGTCGATATATCTCTGAATTCCCTTGTTTTCTGTGTAGGCACATGACCCTTTCGGTAGTGGTCGTATGACCAGGCCAGGCCTGTACCTCCCTAGAAATGAAGGGATGGATACCAGTTTTATAGATAATGTTCCAAGCTACAGCAAATTCAATTTAGATGCAGACGTGAGTTTGTTCTGGTTTTCTTCTTTTATTATTTTACCTACATGTACATACATAATATTTAACAGTTGACATTTTTAATAAGAAAATTTTATTTCTCAGTTCATTTATATTAATAACATGCATATTTTATTTTAGAAAATTCAATTTCTCATTTTATTTCTATAATAACATGTACATGTATATTTTATTATCATTTTCCAGTTTACCATACGAAGACCTGCTGTATCGAAAGAACCAAGTGCAATATATTTGAATGTGCGTAAATGTGCAGAAAATATGCATTTTACAAATTTCACAAGTAACTGAAGAAAGAATTTGTTTGAATTCTATGCAAATTTACCTAAGGGCCTATATGAATGCCCTTTTTATTTCTTGTGTATACATTTCGTTTTTTTTTTTAATTTTAAATAAATATTTAAACAAATTTTACATTAATGATTAAATTCTATTTTAATTGCAGGACCAATCATGGAGATTTACAGGATACACAAACAATGCCTTTTACAATTTTGTGGAAGAGAGAACTCAACTTTAAATTGAATGCATTTAATTAGAAAATTCACAATTATTTCAATGTAAAAATGAATTTCTTCTATCTTTTCATTTGAAATTATTTACGTTATCTGTATCTGTAATAATCTGTACATTATTATTCATATACATGTTTAATAAATCTAATACACAAGCACATGTACTGGTATTTTTTTTTACTATAAGTATTAAATTCAACAATTACAAATTGTTGGCATTTAAGAGAGAGATTCTGAAAGTGCCCAATCATTTTGGCAATGTCCTTTTTTTTTAGAAAAAAAATATATGGAATTACTATACATGTACTCATACAGGTAATCAAAAATTCATTTCATTTATAAATACTATCATTTTTTGTAATCAGATTTAGCGCTATTGATAACTAAAAATTTATTATTGTTTTATTATTCTGTTACCAATATTAGCTTAAAAGTTAATTAATTTTTCTAAGAGTAAGTCGAAATGAACTGATTTGTTCTGTAAATAAATGGTGACATGATGAGATTTACAGGTAATCCGGAGTACCTGAAGTGACGTAAGGAGCGGGGTGCCAGGAACTCCAATCCCTCTCGCTCATATAACAAATTATTCTTTTCATTTTTCCAAACAACAATTTACACATTTTATTGTTGATAATTGATTATCAACTCTAGATTCTGAATTATTGCAGGGATCGGTGTTTTGTTTTTAAATTTGCATGAAATAAAGACTAAGAAGTATTGAATTTCAACATGGATCTATACAACAACCAGGGGTTAACACTCGACTTGTCCATTTTCACGCTCTATTCTATCCCAACTTTCAACAGTTCACTCGCACGGTCTTGAATGTTTATGCATCCAAATTACAATGTTATTGAAAGTTAAGATTTTTTTACCTGCATTTGCAGTGACAGATTTTATTTAATCGGTTTAATTTCAGAATGAGTTACAATGTACATGATAGTTGCTTTCTTCATTTGCGTACTCTAATCCACCTAATGAATTCCACTGATCAGATCAGTGGATCGGAATTCCAGTATAATAACATTTAAAAGAAAATGAAAGCATTGTTACAACTCACTTTGAAAAATTATGCACTTTGAAAAAAATTTTCAAAGTGCGTTAAATTTGGGACCAAGCTAACGCACTTTGAAAAAATTAATTTTTTTTTTCAAAGTGCGTTAATATCGACGATATTAACGCACTTTGAAAAAAAATGTAAAGATTGATCAATATTCCTAGAAGATAATCGGTATGATAAATAACAGATCCTGTTTGGATAACTTTTTTATGATAAAGTCACTTCAGGACCTGAGATATTGACGTTTTAAATATTTGAGGTTTTGATAAAATAAAAGGGAAAAAGGTCCTGAACAAAACAGTGAAGATTGTTTAAGATCATGAATTCGTTTTTTTTTAATTCTAGTCTTTGATAAATAGATGAAAAAGTGTAAAGGGGGCACTAACAGTGGACAGCTTTAAGCAACTTAGCATTTATCATAATAAAAAGGGGGCAATTTGATTGTTCAAAACTTTGAAAATTCTTTCCCTCTCATACGTTTTACTGTACTTAAAAATTTCTAGTTTTCATCTGTTTTAATTAACTAATATTTATTAATTTAATATTGAAAGTTTTCAACGTCATACCAGTTAGGTAAAAACATAATTATATGATTGTTTTGAGTAAAGCATAGACATCGAGGCCGGGTGTCGGGCCAGGGGAGGGGGTAAGCCCCCCACTTATTTTGGAAAGATATATACATCGTATAAGCATTGAAAATGCAGCTTACACCTTTTGAGTTTATTGCTCGCCTCCCCCGTTTGTTACCGACACCTATGTATTGGAAAGATAAAGATTTGGACTGAGGCTAGGAATCTTATGCCCGTCTTCTCCTCTTTTCGACGGGAGTAAATCAATTCTTTTTTTTTGAGGTTAGGGTTAGGGTTAGTTTTTTGAAAGATAAATAACAAATAAAATCTTTCCATTACTAAAATATGATTTTTTTTTCAAAGTGCGTTAAGTGTCTCCATGGTAAAATATATTGATGTAGACTCTTAACGCACTTCGAAAAATTTTTTCAGAGTGCTTTGAGTTGGTCCCAAATTTAACGCACTTTGAAAATTTTTTTCAAAGTGCGTAATTTTTTCAAAGTGCGTTGCCACAAAGCATAAAAAGAAATATTTCTCATCTAAAAACTTTTCAAACATCAACAACATCAAAACATTCGATTTTTCAACGCAATTTCCCATTCCCACAACAAATTAAAGATCGGGCAGTATTTTTGAATTTATGGACAACTGTTTCTTCAATAATAATGGAATAGTTGCACAAATTAACGTATATCTTCAAAATTACATGTACTTCGTTAAAAAACATGATTCCTATATATTCAACATACAAGTTCACTGAGGTTGATATCTAAATATAAAAGATAATTGAATTCCACATCGGCAATATATATGTGCGGTCTTTTGAGAAAGATCTGCTAAAATTTCTATGGACATGCACTTATTGTCCTTTGTTAGATGACTTATGATTTCATCGAAATATTTACAAATCGGGGGCACATAAAAATTAAATGGAAATATGAAAAGGAAGAGGAATGTATAACATTTTTTTAATGTGTGCATATCCCATGTTTTCTTCTCGTTTAGATAAATAATCGAGCGAAGTTTATGGGAGGTGAGACGGATGACGAGAAAAGAGTTGCAAGCCTTCTCTCTCTTTTTTTATGTTTCAGTCGAAAACGATATTTTTAAAAACAGCTTATGTCACAGGGTCACGGTCTTGTTCGAAGGATTCAAAAACAAAACTGGTTCGGTCGTTTATCAATTTATTAATGGATATAAAGAAAAACCTTCACTCTCACAACACTCATACAAAACAATACACATAGACAAACACGAAACAAAAAGACATTTCAACATTTACGAAAAGTAAGAATTAATAGATATTTAACCGACTGCCAGTAGATCGTTACATAAATTAAACAAGTAAATGAATTACAAAATTAATGAACATCTTACCAGGCATCCAGTATCAAGTCAGAAAAATATTATATGGTATATCGATTGAATCGATCTGTGATTATCTTAATATGAGATCTACTACTGTAAAGGCTGTAGAGCTTTGAGTCGGGATTTCGGCGGGTTTCTTACTTTATATAGTGCACGGGTTAGTAAAACATGCATATAATTTAGTATAACGAAATCCATTGGTCCAAGGTCACTGGTCAGTCATACGTAAAGGAAATGCTAAAAATAGAAATTCACCTGTACAAAACTAAACACTCGCACATGGCTCTCACATACCAGCAAAACCGGTTGTATTCGATTGGCTATGCGCGCCAATCAGAATACGTACTTAATATTGCGCAAAGCATCAAAGCAAATATTCAATAATAATTATAATTTAATTACAACTGTGACACTTATAGAGACAAAAGAGTTACATTATTGATAATAAAAAGTGCATATTAGAATACAAAAATAGGAAAAAGGTGACTCGACCCCAGATTTTAAAAGAAAAAAAATGGAAAGGGGGGTCCATACCCCAAATGCCTGTGTATTGTATTAAGAGAAAATCAATTATTTCCGTCCAGGGGAGAGGTTATTAACCCATTTTAAATCTACTCCAATATTAGGGATAAAATACGAATAAACCATATCATGCAGAGCAGAGATCGAAAGGAGTGCCTAACACCAACGACTTCCGTATTCTCAGCTGATTCTATTTTAAAATAACCTATTATAGGCTTAAAATGTTTAAAATAAGGAATTTTTTTTTTTTAAGTTTGTGGTCTGTAAATCACACAGACTTGCACGTAGGCATATTTCAGGAACGCGCTGGGGCTTTGAGATGTATGCCTACGTGCAAGGCTATACCATTTAAATACCAATAATAGTATACACAGTCAAAACTAATAACATTTTACATGTTTAAAAATGACCAATAATATACTCAGTCAAAACTTATCTCATTTTTTTTAATTTTTTTAAAAACATCTAAAATTATAATCAATGCTGAAGAATTTCTCGCTGCCCATCTATATAACTCATCATTACATACCTTTAGTTAACAGTACTGCGATTAGCGTGATATGAAATTAGAAGTGATCTGTGATGTTTTACTTTGATAGTATAAACATTTGTACATTTTGTATTTTAAAACGATTGAACTAATAAACAGAATAACTAAAGTACCGAATGGGTATGAAAAACATGCGATTTTCTCCAGATGCTTGGATAATTTTTTTATTGTAAAAACTGTGATACTTAATTGTTTATGTTGTTGATCAATTTTCAATTAGAAAATGCATAGCGGGTACTTTAATTCGGACTTCCTGCAGATTTTGAAATTTAACGATTAACCCATATATATATTATGATTAACTAAATAACGATGATTTTTTTAAAAAGTAGAAAGGGTAAATTATAGGGCTGGGCAAAAATATCGATATTTAATTTTTATGGGCAAATTCATAAATGATAATATGTTATGTAGTCATACACTATAACTATATGTTGTATTCCTTTTACCAGTTTAACTGAAGCGGTACAAGATTATTGTTGAAAGGAACAGTTGATGTACTATAATTGGCATACTGATCTTTTCCTTATCATTATTGTAATTATTTCATACTTGTCTGTTCTGGGATCAAAAATAGACAAAAATATAAATGTTCTGTTCTGTAGCTTTACACTAGGCCTACCTCAGGATGCCTCCACAAAGGTTTCAGCTTTTCTGGCACAATGGTTCTTGCATCAAGTTGAGAGGATGGATTCCCTATCCCAAAATTAAAATTTTCATTTGTTTTTTTAAAAAATACTATGCCTATCTAAATAAAAATTGATAATATCATGAAAATAAAAATCAATTCCGTTGTATTTATTTTTCTATCTATAGATCTAAAAGAGCAAAAAAGCACAAGGTGCTTTAATAAAATCCTTAACGATTATGTAATAGTAAACTAATGTTTTATATTCATACGCGTCAGCCGAAACTGAGAAAGTCTTCTTTAATGCACGTTAATAAACATATAGTTTTTGATTTATATTATTGGATTATTATTCATTATAACTGGCTAAAAGTAAAACATGACTTGATTATAAAACATGGTACATAATTACGAAATAATCATTTAATTTAGGGAACTATATTTTACCGTGTAATGATATCCGTTCGGCCATTGAGAAAAAAAATGTAGCACCAAAACACAGGTGCTCGAAAATGTTATCTTATTATGTTTTAGCCTGTTTGTTTCTTACTATCACTTTTAGCGATGTCACAACAGGTATGTATAGAATATATTTTTATATTCTTTATTATCTATATCAAGTTAATTGCCGTCGTATTTTGTTTTTACATGCAGTCAAGCAACCCCTTTGGCTTTCATTCGACTTCGAGTGCAGACATTGTAATTGCCCTTCTTTGATATCAATAGAGCCTTTTACTTTAAACCTTAAATGATTTAAATTTTCAAAAATAATTATATTTCAATACATCTTTTAGTGGAAGCCTTGTTTTCTGTTACCTCTGTTGTAATGAATCGTATGGCCAAAAGACATGGCTATGTGGAATGCAGGATAATGGATTATGAAGCATCATCTGTCTGTGTTCTCAGAATCAACTTCAGAATAATTTTAACAATGATTTTGACACTGATATTAATCAAACGTGTACCCAAACTGTATGCTTTAGTATCATGGGAATTGTCACATTACGATACATGTAGGTATGATGATACTATGACACATACACATGTGGGAGCCAGTCAAAGCGCCCCCTAATAAAAACGTCCCGGTCAAAGTGTCCCCTAATTTTAGTCAAAGCGTCCCCTGATTTTAGTCAAAGCGCCCCCGATTTTGGTCAAAGCACCCCCTAACATATTTTTATAGAAAAAATACCGCCCCCAAATATTGGTCAAAGCGCCCCCTAACATATTTTTATAGAAAAAATGCCGCCCCCAAATATTGGTCAAAGCGTCCCCTGTTTTGGTCAAAGCTCCCCCTAACAATTATATATTTTTACAGAAAAAAATATATTTATAGAAACAATCTTTATTGCCCCCAAGAAATGGTCAAAGCGCAGAGCTCCAGATAATTTTTTACCCCAAAGTGTATTTACTCCCTGATTTTCAAATCAATGCAGATTTTGATTTTCAGCAAAATGTTTGCAGAGTATTTTGTTTATATAGAAATGTTTTGACCTTTATTTGGAGCTTGTAATCGAAGTACGAGTTTTTGAAGAAGGAAAAAACTTCCAAGGTCAGTTTCTGCATTTATTTAAATAAGTTTTGTAAATACGAACAAAACTTTTTGCTAAGATTGGGGAGCATTCTTTTTTGACAAGGAAGACACAGTAGGTCAAGGTTCACTGTACCATAGAGTCACCGACACATATAACTTTCCCTTCATTCAAGATATCGTACCAAGAGTAAACCCAGAGAATCTTCGTTAATATGGCAAGTTGAGAGAGATGAAAAATTGGCTATGAACCCATAATAAAAAAAAGTTATGCCTAGTGCATAGTCTTAATTTCTACCCAGAAATTGATTTTAATCTATATCTCCGATTCTTCCTCCCGAAATGGAGATCGTCGTCGTCATTACTAGAATATTCCTGGTCACTAAAAGGTTTTTAAATTTGTACTTCGTTTTCAGAAAAATCAAACACTGTGTTAACCTCTATTGGTATCATTAAGTAAGTCGTACATGTATTCTTCAACTTGTACGCAGTACTTTCGTGGTGTATTGCGTATCTATGATTGCTAATGCGTAATTGTACGCTCTATTTTAATTTTCAATGCGTATTTTATAAAATTTAATGCGTATTTCTGCAAATACGCTCCTTATCTGGAGCTCTGAAGCGTCCCCTGGATTTGGTCAAAGCAACCCCTAATATACTTTTACAGGGAAAAAAAACGTTTCGAGTCAATCCCAAAGCAATGGTCAAAATGTCCCCTGATTTTGGTCAAAGCGCCCCCTATAGAATTAACTGCCAAACAATGATAAGCTTTGACCAAATCAGGGGACGCTTTGACCAATATTTGGGGGCGGTTTTGTAACATCATTTTACTATAAGGGGCGCTTTGACCAAAATCAGGGGACGCTTTAACCAATATTTTGGGTGGTCTTGTAACATCATTTTACTGTAAAATTCTATAAGGGGCGCTTTGACCAAAATTAGGAGACGCTTTGACCAAATTAAGGGGACACTTTGACCAAAATCAGGGGACGCTTTGACGGGGTTGGTTTTATTAGGGGGCGCTTTGACTGGATTTCACACATGTGTATCACGATACAATTGAATATTATAGAAGAAGATTATTTTCGTAATTTTCATTGGCTAAAAGGACGTCATGTGATATTCCCCTTTTTGTGGTATTGATGCGAAAGTGCGTCGGCAGAAAATGATATTGCACGACACAGCATTCAGTTGCACTGAAGTTATGTAGAACGCAGTGTTTTCCCTAAGAACCGGCTACCGGCCAAATTGACCGCTTCAATTGACAAAAATGCCGCTTTGAAATAAAAACTTGCTGTTAGGTCCACTAAGATTTTGTTTATAAACCTCAGCCCCTAGCCTGTTACAACTTATCACTAACCCTTTACTTTGAAATAAAGGGAAAACACTGAGAACGTGACGTCATAATATAAGAAGTTTGTTTTTAACCATTGTGACGTAATGACAGCAAGTCTGTTTTAATAGTTAGAACTGTGTCTGCATTCACTTTGAGTGATTATTTAATATAACTATTATGGACTTCAGTGAATGGTCAATATATGGTTATAAGGACTTCCGGCAATTAATATTGACCTCAGACACAGAAAATGATAATGACCGAGCCTGCGAGATCGCTATCATTTTCTGTGTCTTCGGTCAATATCAATTGCCATGAGTTCTTATAACCACATATCGACCTACACAGGAGTCCATAATTGTATACTATACAACAATGTAAAGCAGAAAATTGTTTCTTTTGTTCCATATAATCACATGGGAAAGGTATAACTTCATGTGTATAAGAGCAATTTATTGTATATTTTGGAAAGGAACACTTTTATTACTCGTTCAATTACTACAGAAATTCCACCATGTGCACACTTAATAGATTCGGAATCGGCAGACATTTTGTTTGGATTTTAAAAACTTTAATTGTAAAGTAAAAAACACTTCCAGTATCACGTTTCTGAAATGATGATACAATGTGCATATCGTTGAAACACATACATGGTCAATATGATCAAGTTGTGAGGGCTTGTCCCTAAACACAGTTAAATTAATCAAACTTAACTGTGTGGTCTGGATTACTTTCTAGTACATTGATCCTGAATTTTATCAAATTTTCTTTTAAATGTCTTGGAATTCTACTACCGTGTAGCAAATATAATGAAGAGTAAACTAAAACAAAAATTGTAAAAGTAGCATGCTGATCTAGCAAATAGCATAAACATATTCTGGTATCTTGAATATACATTGCAATATTCCATATGAGCAGTTTTAAACATTTTGAATCCATGTTGATACTTTTGCAGGCTTGAAGTGCTACTGCGCAGAATGTATTCACACCAACCAGACATGTGAAACGGATGGGGTGTGTCTCACTATTAGGTCAATAAGAACAGATGGGACAGAAAAGATAAGATACAGGTATGTACCCAAAAGACAAAATTAGTCAAAATGTGAAGATGGTGAAGGTGATGTGTTTTGATCATTTTCTTAGTTTTTTCCAATTTTAAGTTTTATTTCTTAATGCACTTTTTCGCAAAAAAATTAATAATAAATAAATAAACAAAAATACCATTTCTTTAGTCTTTAGTCGGCTTTAATGTTTATAATCATGTTAAAATCCAAGAAGAAATGCAACTTGAGATTTACTAAAATTTTGATAATTGCTGTAAAAGAATGACTGCGTTTAAGCTATGAGAGTTGGAACCTTTTCGGATACCCATTTTCAGCTCAACATTACAATATATTGCTAAATTAATCTATGATTAATATGCAAGCATATGCTTTTGATATTTATTTATAGAATTTTTTGTCATACATATTTCTATAATTACAGAAAATGTAATTGAAAAGAACATGTAAAAGCCTTAAATTCCGGAAATTTGAACAGGACCACTTTCGAATCTAAGGTATCCGCAAATAGGCGGAGTCATTTAAACCGCATGGTTGTGGAATGTAAACATTAGCACGTATGATTTTTTCGCACTACGAATTTAAATGGAGAAGAGAGAGATCTTGTTGATTTTATGGTGCACAATTATTACATGATTCTAATGTTAAGGGATAGGGTAGATGTCTCGCTCTACAGACCATAATACAGAGGCGACATAAGCCTATACATATGTACTTACTATTGACACTGTCAATACCAGAATTCTTTCAAAACATCCTTAATGTAAAGCATAAAGTTAAATAAGAGACATGTTATCTTCAATAAAATATCCGATAGTTTGAATTTGGAAGTACGATAGATACTGTCACAACAGAGACTTAAACACAATGCAATGTTCAATGAAAGCGTTAGCGTATCGAACAGCAGAATGTCACGTGATTAAGGTGATTATAATATCAATCGTTGATGTACGGTGACCGGTTAATTTAGTAGCTATCTCAACCCTAGTTTGGGGACATTTTTTTTTAAATTAGATATGAGCCGCAACTTGGCCAACATTGTCCTTTGGGTATGTATAAGTTTAAGTTAGAATACATTCTGTGCAAATAAGAAAAATGGCCAAGTTACGACTCGATGTAAACAAAGTCGTTGAAAACTGGTATGCATATGAATAACAATAGAAATGAGACAAAACTATTAGACCCCCGTCTCAAAAGCTAGTGTCGCTCGGCATTGTTTAATACTTTCATGTTATATAATATACCAAAACCTGCTCTTAAGATATTGTTTAATATCTATAAAACATAAATTGAATGAATTTTGGGATTTTATTTTGCGCAAAACATCGGAATCCAACTCTCATAGCTTAAGTGCAGTCATTCTTTTATGACTTGGAGAAATCTCCAAGATCTCTATGTAAAAAAAAAGGTACCACTTCAATACAGATTACATTCAAAAACCATAAATATGCAACAACCACACACAAACATTTCATCAATATTGAATTGTGATTTTAAACTTTTTTTTTTTACATTAGCATCAAGGCATTACATATTTTTTTCAAATACTTTCACTGTTTGAATTTTTTTCAGTTGTTATGATTTCTCTCCAAGCTTACTTTTTCCTGGTCAAACCCTACCAAGAGTTTGTCACAGGAAAGGCAAACAGTTAAACATAAGTAATGTTGAATGCTGTCAAACAGACTTCTGTAACATGGAACTGAAACCAACATTAGCTACATATATTGTTCATGGTACAGTTTTACAACATTAGAATTCATAATAAAACAACAAAATATAATCATAAACACCACTGCACTGTCTGGGTCTCTCTGGTCTAAGTATCCAGAGGGACATTATTTTGTCAACAGAATGTCTGCACACATCAACCCATTTATGCCAATCAGGCTGTCAGACTCGAGTGTAGTGTTCTTAGAATTAATCTGGTACTGGAAGTTCACTGAATATTCATTTTGAGGAAGACAATTACAGTTATTTACAAGACAATATTGACTTATCATGTTCAAATTACATGTGAGTACATTGAACACATTGTTGTAAACTTGCCATTTCTACTGACAGGAACTTAATTTTCATTCTGAGATAATAGGGTAAAAAAATGAATAAATGAATTTGTAACTAGGTGGGATTCAGGGTACACAGGTATTATCTTAAGTGATGAATATTAGATTGTCATTACAATGATGGGTTTTGATAGCCTTCACAGCTTAGCTTTCACATGTTCACAACCTCCTTCCCCCCCCCCCCAAAAGTCCTGCTGCAGGTCAAAGCACTATTTTAAAAAAAAATTCCAAAATACTGTAAACCAACTTTTATTCGCGTGCGAGAAATTTTCGCGAAGTTCGCGAGAGCCTCGTCATCGCGAATATTTCTCGCCCCGAACCGGTTCTTAAAGTCTATGTGTCTATTAAAAAGTAACCTTAGTAGGCTTTATCGCGAAAATTAATCGTCGCGAACTAGTTTATCCCCGGTAAATCGCGAAATAAAGTCGTCGCGAATAAAAGTTGGTTTACAGTAGTTGTACGATAATAATATTCTTGAAAAAAAAATTTTTAAAATGATTTTGAAAGATGTATCTTTATTTTAATGCAATTATTATTTTTTGTATGAATGTTTCTTCCTTAAATATCAAATAGGTTTTGTGTGATCTGTTAATATTTAAAAATAAAGGTGAGTTCATTATTCTGTCTTTCATATTATGTTTGATTGGTCCAGTTCCAAGTTAGCTGGGACTTAGAACAAGGTTGCAGTTAATATTGTTGAATCATCATTGTTCATGGGGGACCAATTTTCAGATCTAAATGGTCACCCATTCTGATTCTAACATATTTACAACCCAACAAATTATATCTATTGATGTATCTGTTCTTCATACATTGTATTCATAGATTTTTCTGTATTTAACATTTTCACTAGAAATGATGTCCCCAGGAACCTGGGAAATATCAATTGGCAAGGAAAATTTATCCCAACATATTAAAATGTTTAGTTATTTGTAGTATTTTTACAATGAGTTTTTAACCAGATGAACATTAACTTGGTAGTAAAAATTTAAAAGTGAAACTTACCTACAAAAGTGATTACATTGGTTTGAGTTGAAGGAAAAATTTGATTGGATATGTTTTTAATGCTGTAAAGATGATGCTGTGCATTTTTGATTTTAAGTGATTATTTTTAATAGGTGTAGCATTGAAAGTGATAATCTTCCACGTATTCCAAACCATGACATCTTGGATTGTTTGAATACCAAACTCCGTGGAGATTCCTCCAGTAAACTCTGCTGTAATGATGAAGATTACTGCAATAAACTTCTGCGACCTACATTTGCCCCACCCACAACCCATACTCCCACGTTCAGAGGTAAGGACGAAAAAAATTAACTTCCTTATTACTGGAGGCTGGAGGTAATGAACAAGTACACATGGAAATGAAGGGGGTGGGTTAAGCATACCTGAGTTGTTAGCTCAAGTCATTGAAGGGAGCTTTACTGATGATACCTGTTGTTGTCTGGTATCCATCTTCATTCTTCTATCAATCCATCTATAAACATGACACATTTTTGAAACCTCTATAATTTTCAAGATCAACCTCTTAAAGTTGGGATAGGGTCACGATATGTGGTCAAAGTCACTATTTTTCATGGGAATACAAAGGGGAAAAATCTTTTTTAAACTAATGATATTCAGTACCTGGGGATGCATGCATTGTAGGTCCGTGCTAATAATTTATTTTCTTTTTTTGGTAAATGAGATGTATTTCAACATACAAGTACCGGTATACTTTTTTGTTTCTGTTCAAATTAGTTGTCTTATTAATAATATAGTGTTTATTTATGCATTTTTAAATGTACATGATGTAGGAAAGTGAATATTTGTGCAAAAGCGACATTAAGCCATGTTATAATATTTCAATTTTTTTCTCTTCTGTTTTTAGGAATTATTTGGAAAGTGGGGAAATAAAAACTCTGAGAGCAAAAATGTTTGTGGAGATTAAATTTCATGGATAAGATTCTCCAACGAACTCTTTGAACAAAGTTTTCCAGAAAATAGTCCTCTCAAAATAATTCAAACCGTGAAATTTTGTTTGTCTCCAAAATCAAGTCATTACATTGGTCTGAGAAATTTTATCCTCTCAAGTACTTCTGCTTCTTTATTTGTAATAGAAAAAATACAAGTTTCTGCAAAGCTGCTCTACACATGTGCACAAAATCATGCTCACAGTATATGTGTATCTCCTTATGATAAAATGCACACACCTTCCTCCTGCTTTTTGCATCAATTATTACATTTCAATAACAATAGAAGATATTTGGTTTTTAATTATAGTCATGATAAACATGAGGAGAAAAATATGTTAAGTGTTAATAAACATGACTGACTCAGCATAATTTCATTCAATTAGAAAACATTCCTAAAGATATGAAAAATATCATTGACCTTTCTGACCTTTTCAGAGAACCCTGAACCCAGGCTGACCTTTGGGACGTGGGAGTTAGTCTCTCTGATAGCGGGGCCGGTAATTGTGGTCTCCATCTTATTTGTCATATGTTTCCTCTCCTATCGCCAGTGCCAGCATCAGGGCTACTGTCTCTCCCCCAAAGCCATGATAGATGGACCAAGTGAGACCCAGCCCTTCATGCAACCTGGCCAAAACACAGACACACTGAGAGAAATGATCATGGAGTATTCAGGCTCTGGTTCAGGTAAACACTATGAGAGAAACGCAAATGAAGTATTTACATGAAGCTCTGGTTTAGGTAAACACTCTGAGAGAAAATGTTAATGGAGTATTTAGCTCTGGTTCAGGTAAACTTTCTGAGAGAAAAATGTTAATGGAGTACATGTATTTAGCACGGGTTCAGGTAAACACTCTGAGAGTATTCATGGATTATTTAGGCTTTGGTTCAGATAACTTTGAAATTACTATATTTCAATAAATGGCATTCAAGGCAGATAACTATAAATATTAAATGTTAAGATGTTCATCTTTTTGAAATTATATATATATAGCCGTTATGATCTAAGACATTCAAGAACAATGAACACCCTGCTTCAATCAAAGATGGCATACATTTATGACCTACAGCTGTATGTAATATTTTTGCAATGTTGCTTTTCAGGCCTTCCCCTACTTGTCCAGAGAACCATTGCCAGACAAATTCAGTTGGTGGAGATCATTGGAAAGGGTCGTTACGGTGAAGTTTGGCGAGGGCGCTGGAGGGCAGAAAACGTAGCCGTAAAAATCTTCTCTTCTCGCGAGGAGAGATCATGGATACGAGAGGCCGAGATTTATCAGACAGTCATGCTTAGGCATGAAAATATTTTGGGATTCATTGCAGCAGATAACAAGGGTATCATTACACTGATTATGCTTATTTTTTTTAGTTGACGATTAAATACCAAGAAACTCATTCTTACAACTGGGGCCTTTAAAGATTTCTTTCATAGGGTTCTCTTATTCTCCATTCAGCACAAGCTTATGATTTATGTAAATAATGTAACTTGTCGTGTAGGCAAAATTGCTAGTATACTCTATGGAAAAATATAAGCTTGAGCAAATCTGTTTGATCTAAACACCATTATCATTCACAAACTGAAAAACATTCAGTATTTGAATTTTTGCTGCCCTATGTCATTTTATCTGTTTCCTTCATGTCTCAATAACATGCCTTTCTCCATGTATATATCTGTGTGGTAACACAGCATTTAAATAAATTTTATAGTTGGCTTAGTAAAAATAAAACAAAGTAATTTTAAATATTAAATATTTAAATCCTCTCTGTAACCATGAAAATAAATAATTCAGACTAGACTGTTGAATCCATTATTAAATCCTGACTATGTTTTTCATGACAGCATTGTCACATTTATTGACATGCATGTCTTGGAACAAGTATATCTGAAGAATTATATCTCTGTTTTCATCGATTTGAAAGTCTTGCAGTATATAAATTTAAATTCTAAAATTGAAAAAATAGCTTTATTATATTAAAATGAATTCACTGTAACATCTTACTATATGTACATTATCTATGGTTTCTATGCATTATGAAATATCAGCATGTTCTTTTAACTTATTGCAGATAATGGCACATGGACCCAGTTATGGTTGATAACAGATTACCACGCCAATGGTTCTTTGTTTGATTACCTAAACAGAACAGTGTTGTCCACCACACAGATGATCAGACTGGCTATGTCTGCTGCATGTGGGCTTGCGCATCTCCACATGGATATTGTGGGCACAGAAAGTAAGTATAGTACAGTGTAATGTTAAAACTTATACATGTATATTAAGAATAGATACTGTAAACATAGAAAATCTCTAGATGGGATAATTTTTACAATCAGAGAAACTTTTTAATTAACCCGTTTAAAATATTCTTTAAATCTTAAAGGGGCATGGACACAGTTTCAACTGATTTTTTAAAACCAATTTTAATGTTTACAATTCCTTACTGAGGTATTATCTAATGATCAACAAAAAACTGAACATCATTTGTTGATTAACATACGAGATACAGAACTTAAAGTTCTTAATTATGTAAACAAGGCTTGTGCCTTGTTTTTATTTTACATATTGAAAATATCATATTTATAACACAATGAAATTCAGTAAATCACGAGAAACTGTTGAATCGTGTTTAGAATTAACTTCTTCCTTGAAATTATATGCTTTGAACGAACATACATGTATATTAGTATATTAACCTATGTAAACAAAAACATGAAACAGACCCTGTTTACATAACAAAGGTTTGGAGCTATAAATCTCTCTTGTATCTCGACAACTGTGAAGTTCAAATTTTGATGATCATTAGAAAGACCTTTCTTAAGGTAGGACACAATAGATAGGCCAAATTTTTCCTCAAATTCAATTTTTCTGAAACTTTGATATTTTGTTCTAGGATACAAAATCTCTCTTAATATATAATATGAAAGAAATTCAACCGCTCATATTTTGCCCACATTGTCTGAAATATGGCCTATCAGACCCCTGTTAGAAGATTGTGAAATCAGACACTCGACTTAAGAATGAGCCTTATTTTAGAATTATCAATTGATCTATTGCAAGTTTGTGTCATAATTCTGATAAAGATAACCTTTTTGTTACTTTAAATTAGTAAGTCATATTGATACTGGACCATTTGATAAAAATATTAAGTAAAAATAGAACATACATAGCATCCGAATTGAACATTCACATGTAAATATCCTACACTTTAAGTTTTCTTTAAAAAAAATATGATTCAATTTTTGCAAAAAATTAACAGAATGATTAAAATGGGTCCCAGAATAAAATGTGTAAAAATAAAGAAAATTGAACCGGTAGTTTCTGATATTTTGGCGATTAAAAAAATTAAATGGCAAAAAATATTAAAGATTCAGTAGATGACGTCACAATATTTGACCTTTGACCTCCTGATATGACATTGACCTTTATAGTACACAAAGAACGGAGACTCCTTATATATGTGTCCAAATATCAGCCCTGTACTATTTATTGAACAAAAGTTACATTGCATTTTATATCAGACTGTTACATGCTTGTTTATTGCACTTTGAAAGTGTAAACACATTCCAAAATGTAAACTCCCAAGTGACCAACATATAGGATTCTCTAATTTTTTCACAAAATATGATGCAACCATGCCAAAACTTGTTATTTTTCTTACAGGGGTCATTCATTGCTGTGAATGTAGTAATAGTATTCTTTTTTTTCTCCAGTATTTTTTAAGAAATTAGTAAAAATAGAATCCAGGGGTGTTTTGTAATACCTTAAATATTTGTGAAAACGGAAAAATAAATTTGAAAATTATAAGCTGAAACTGTGTCCATGCTCCTTTTTAGCTCACCTGAGCTAAAAGCTCAAGTGAGCTTTTCTGATCACATTTTGTCCAGCGTCCGTCTGTCTGTCTAGCTGTCTGTCTGTAAACTTTTCACAATATTCGACTTCTTCTCAAGAATCGCTAGGCCAATTTCAACCAAACTTGCCACAAAGTATCCTTGGGTGAAGGGGATTCAAGTTTGTTCAAATGAGGGGCCACGCCCTCATTCAAGGGGAGATAATTGGGAATTAATGAAAATTTGGTGGCATATTTTAAAAATCTTCTTCTCAAGAACCACTGTGCCAGGAAAGATGAAACTTATAGGGAAACATCCTCAGGTAGTGTAGATTCAAGTTTGTTCAAATCATTACCCCCGGGGGTAGGGCAGGGCCAAAATGGCCGACCAAAGTTTTACATAGAAATATATAGGAAAATTCTTTAAAAATCTTCTTCTCAAGAATGACAAAGCTATAATTCATCATATTTATATGGAAGCATTCTCAGGTAGTGTAGATTCAAGTTTGTTCAAATCATGACCCCGGGGGGTAGGGCGGGGCCAAAATGGCCGACCAATGTTTTACATAGAAATATATAGGAAAATTCTTTAAAAATCTTCTCAAGAATGACGAAGCCATAATTCATCATATATATATATATGGAAGCATGCTCAGGTAGTGTAGTTTCAAGTTTGTTCAAATCATGACCCCCGGGGATAGGGCGGGGCCAAAATGGCCGACCAAAGTTTTACATAGAAATATATATGAAAATTCTTTAAACATCTTCTTCTCAAGAATGACAAAGCCATAATTCATCATATTTATATGGAAGCATGCTCAGGTAGTGTAGATTCAAGTTTGTTCAAATCATGACCCCAGGGGTAGGGCGGGGCTAAAATGGCCGACCAAAGTTTTTAAGATATATATAGGAAAATTCTTAAAAAATCATTTTCTAAAAAATAGCAAATCCATGATTGGTCATGGGACTACTTTTGGATTTAAACTTTACAATAAAAAGCCATTTTCTACTTTTTCCTACCCTTAGTGCTCAGGTGAGTGATGTGGCCCATGGGCCTCTTGTTATACCTTTAAATTTTATAGAAGCAACAAAATTTCTTTATTTAAACAAAGAAAAAAACAATCAAATGACTGTACATTTAAGTATTTATAATTTAAAATATTAATTTCCGAGCCCAAGTGAGCTATAGACTGCATTTTAAACTATTAATAGTCTCTTTACAAGGTTTTTGTTTAATAAAAAAAATCTTGATAACCAAAATCACAGCTTCGTGTACAAGTTTTCACCATCTCTGGTAAAACTGTTCAGCATTACTTAAAGATTGTTGAAAATATTAATTGAAAATATTAAGCTTTATTTTAAGATGACCTACATGTATATTCTCTTTTTCAGTTCATGCTGGGAAACCAGCTATTGCACACAGAGACTTGAAAAGTAAAAACATTCTGGTCAGGAATGATGGGGTCAGTTGTTGCATAGCAGATCTGGGTAAGTAACTAATGGAAGCTTCTCTGCGTAACAAGTGGAGAAAAGAATTGAAAAGAAAATCATATGGGATAATGGTGAAATTGAAGCAGACCTACTGAAAAGAACTGATGATCTGTAAGAATTTGACAAAATAATTTTAGAAATAAATATACACTTAAGAGTCCATATAATTTAAAAATGAAGGACTTCCTTAAAATTACAGTATACCGTACTTTTTATTATTTTATTTCATTGTATTTTGAGGGGATAAAATGGAGAAATTGCATTTGGTATTAGAAGATTATTTCAGGCTGTCAGCTTTATCTTAAATTATTCTTTTAAGAGTGATTTATAAATTATGTATTAGAAAACTCATAATTGTCTTATGTAGGTTTGGCTGTCCGACATGACCCTGTAACGGATGCAGTGGATATTGCTCCAAATAACAGGGTGGGGACCAAGCGTTACATGGCCCCGGAGGTTTTAAATGATACGATCAACATGAATCAGTTTGATTCCTTCAAGAGAGCTGATGTGTATTCGTTTGGACTGGTGCTATGGGAACTCACTCGTCGATGTTCAGTAGGAGGTATGACTCTAAGATAGATTTATTTTCATTGTACTTTTATACAAAATGGTTAGTCAAATCTGTTTAAAAGGTATTTTCCTATGGACTGGACTTTCGTATGTTATCCCAGGATTAAGATTTATATTAGTCGTATGTAGTGTTAAAGTTTGGAAACTTTAATTTTCTTATATAGCCAATGTAAAGATAATTATGGTTGTCCTTCTTACTTTGATCAGACTCCAAAAGGACTTTGAGTCAAACTTTGCACTGTCATTACAAGTATCTACTCTCAATAATGATGTGAGATTTCTGTATTGCTCAAATTTTTCTTCCACGAGGACCATTTTATATTCACTTTTCATTGATACATTTAATAAGGTGAATATAGATGTAAATTTAATAACAATAAGGAAGAAGTGTCTTACTTTTACCTGTATGTATTGTAGGTATAGTAGAGGACTATCAGTTGCCATTTTATGATATTGTGCCCTCGGATCCCAGTCTTGAGGACATGAAGAAGGTGGTGTGTGACGACCGCCAGAGGCCAGGGATTCCCAACAGATGGCAGACTGTAGAGGTCAGAGGTTACATATGACATTAACCAATCAGATTTCATCTTTAATCATTTCAGTATTAAGAAAAAGAATTACAAGAAGTTTTTTTTTTAGTTTGTACAGAATTAATGATTCTGAATTTTTGTTTATGTATGATATAGTAATAAAAAATTCAGAATCTCAACTCAAGGAATAAATGTCTATTTTTTCTTATTTCATGATGTGATCAATCGAGTGGCTTGTGTGATAATTTGCATAAATGTCGAAGGCTTTTATGCATAAAATTATCACGCAAGTCACTTGATTGATCATCGTAATGAAATTTAAAATATTGACATTTATTCCTTATATTTACATGCTCTTGATTCTGCAAATCCACTTGTTACAAGCTCCATTTCTTGTCTCTATTTGTCCCGCCCCGCACATGATTTTTTTTAACTGCGCCTATCAGTGAACCAGTACATATATGTTGAAATAAAGTACATTAACTATTTGTCATTTTATCTCAGACAAAGACATTGGAAATGTAAATACATGTATATTAAGATAAAGTAAAACACACAAAGAAATGTCAAGGATCATACTCGATTGGTTATAAATGTTATTTGCTATATCCAAAAAATGTAATATGTTTTTTAAAATACATGGGAAATCACTATGAGTCATCTTCATATCGACTGTCCTTTTCTATTTCAGAGTTTAAAAGTCATGTCACGGTTGATGAGAGAATGTTGGTATCACAATCCTGCCGCTCGATTGACAACTCTGCGCATTAAGAAATCACTGGATAATCTGGCAAAGTCCGAAGACATGAAAATCTGATACCAAAAATTACCCAAAAAACACTTATAAGTGGCCATGACTTTGGTATGACTGCAATCTGTTAGTGAACTTAAAGTACATGTAGAACATGTATGATTGATGCTGGGCTTTCAGACTTGTGTACTTCAGTGGGAATGACTTTGACAGCGGTCTGGGCATTTGTGATATACATGTGTGTGCGTGTGTGATAATAAGTGTAACGTAAATGAGAAGTGTAGTATGTCAATGTTGTTTGAGAAGTCGTTGAAGTGATTTACATTGTTGTTTGTCATTTGCATTTTAAAAATCACTTTTAGAAAGAAAGGGTTCTTTTACATCTTTCCTTTTACACGAATTGTTGATGTGTTTTTATTTAAAAATGTGATTTTAGTCTCTTAAATCTAACTTTATTCATTTTACTGTCTATACTTAAGAAAGATTTTATTTTAGACAGAACATGATATATTTAGTAATTAGTATTTACAAAGACAACTTGAGGTTGATGATTTGATGATTGTATTGCGACTGTTTTACATCATTAGAAGAGAAAGCTGCTATTAAGTAATCCAAACATTGAAGGGTTTTATCATAGAATTCAAATGTATTGTTATTTCTAGTTCATTTCTATAGAGAACTGGTTATCTTTTTGAGTGCATGACATTGCATGTTGTTAGGCAATATTATATGTTGTTCACAAATATAAATATGTAAATGGCATTAAAACTGTTGATAGCAGTTAGGTAGTGCTCTGTAAAACTTGTACACAAATCAAATGTATATTTTATTTACTGTCAATAGCTTCATTTCTGTAATTTTTCTCTGCTTTTTATGCCATTATAAATTCTTCAAATCATTTTCTTGAAAGGATTAAGAAAATTTTAGTTTCATATGATAACTATGTATTTTTACAAGTAAATCCATTTTATTGCCAGTTGTTGTAAATAATGTAGTCACAATCATGTGTTTTTGTCATGGTAGATGAAATCAAAGTAGATTAAAATCTGTTTTCCTTTGTATGTTTTTTTTAGCATTTAGATATTATGTTGATATGAAATACATGTACTTGTGTACATGTAGATATGTGTATATTTAAAAAAAAGAAATATAATGTCCCATTTAGAGATGTCAAATTGGATCAGAATCGCATTTTTCATTTAATTGAATGTATTGAAGTTTATGTTAAAAATGTTTATATAAGAGAAAAAATCTGTTTTGTGTAATGTTAAAATTACATGTATTTGAGAATAAAAAATCTTAGGCCATACCAAGTTATTTCTACGTTTAGCTTCCGCGTGCGCCTTGGTTTTTGACACCCCATGTCAGAAAAAACAAACAAAATCAGGAGTCCTGAAATTGATTAATTTAGTCAAAATTTTTAAAATTTGTAAATTTCTCCAAATAATTCTGTACAGTAAGTAATATTAGGTGTATTGTAAGCAATTTAATCTATTGTTTTTGCATAAGAATAGATATTTCTTCAATAAAGCAGTTTAGTTAGATCAAATCATTTGAAGGGTTTGATTTTTATGACTTTTTAAGCCTGCGTTTTATGTTTTGGCTTGTGTGTTTTTTGTGAATAGGTATGTAGCTTTTTGAAAGATAGGTGGACGCTAAACAGAGAAAAAACTTGGAATGGCCTTAAGAGAGATAACTTAAAACTATACAAAACTAAGTCACAAAATTAATCCTACAAAAATTTTATAAGGTGAAAACAAATTTCTTGCACAACTCTTTTATTGAAAATTTCAATAGAAAGTTCTCATTGCATAGTTTGATGAAAATTCATTATGCCCAAGTCACATTTTTTGACTGGGAACAAGAGATTGAGCCGAGCTGTTAGGATTTGTCATAATGCCAAGCACCTGCATTAAAACATATTTAAAGTATTATTTTGATCGGTACATATCTTTGTATTGTTCATAATTTGTGTATATATGTCTTCATTTTAGCCAAACAAATTTTTTTAGTACGTAGTGCAGATTTTAGAATCATGTATTTATTACAATAATGCGTGGCTAAAGTGCTTTTTCTGTATGAATTTTTTGTTAGGGCCAGTGAGAGCAATTTTATTTATTAAAGAGATACACTGTATAGTGGTTATTTGCTGATACATTTTAGTTCATTTGCTGGAATCAAAATCTCCAAAAAATTATTAACCAGCATGACAAAATTTTGATACTCTTTATATTTGTTTTACATTGGTGTAGGTTAAATGCTGTTTACCGATTATTACAGTGTGATTTTTTTATTACCAAATTTGGATTTTTAGGTCACCTGAGTAAACTCAGGTGACCTATTGCTATCTGTTTTCGTCCGTCGTCGTGCGTCGTGCGTTGTGCGTTAACATTTGAACATTTTCAGCTTCTTCTCTGCAACCACTGAACCAATTTCAACCAAATTTGGCATAAAGCATCTATGGGTGAAGGGGAACAAAAATTGTGAATTTCATGATCCCTGCCCCCCTGGGGCCTGTGGGGTGGGGCCAAAACCACTAAAATTAGTACAATCTTTAAAAATCTTCTTCTTTACTCCTGGACATCAAGCAGTCAAACTGTTTGCATGATTGTAATCAGCAATGAGTCCTCTACCAAAATTGTGAAATTCATGGCCCTGGGGTCAAGTGCTAGGGAGGGGCTAAATAAGTAGGTAATGAAAATGCATTATTTCTTTGAAAATCTTCTCCTCTGCTCCTGGGTATTAAATAAACCAACTAAGTACATAGTTAAGATAAACAAGAGTGCCTCTACCAAAATTGTGAATTTTATGGCCCCAGGGTCAGGGGTTGTATTGGTGTTAGGGCGGGGCTCTATTGATTATATAGTGAAAATACATGAATTCTTTGAAAATCTTCTTCTCTGCTCCTGGGTATTAAATAAACTAACTAAGTACATAGTTATGATGAGCAAGAGTGCCTCTACCAAAATTGTGAATTTTATGGCCCCAGGGTCAGGGGTTCTGGTGTTAGGGCGGGGCTCTATTGATTATATAGTGAAAATACATGAATTCTTTGAAAATCTTCTTCTCTGCTCCTGGGTATTAAATAAACTAACTAAGTACATAGTTATGATGAGCAAGAGTGCCTCTACCAAAATTGTGAATTTTATGGCCCCAGGGTCAGGGGTTCTGGTGTTAGGGCGGGGCTCTATTGATTATATAGTGAAAATACATGAATTTTTAAAAATCTTCTTCTCTGCTCCTGGGTATTAAATAAACTAACTAAGTACATAGTTATGATGAGCAAGAGTGCCTCTACCAAAATTGTGAATTTTATGGCCCCAGAGTCAGGGGTTCTGGTGCTAGGGCGGGGCTCTATTGATTATATAGTGAAAATACATGAATTCTTTGAAAATCTTCTTCTCTGCTCTGGGTATTAAATAAACTAACTAAGTACATAGTTATGATGAGCAAGAGTGCCTCTACCAAAATTGTGAATTTTATGGCCCCAGAGTCAGGGGTTCTGGTGTTAGGGCGGGGCTCTATTGATTATATAGTGAAAATACATGAATTCTTTGAAAATCTTCTTCTCTGCTCCTAGGTATTAAATAAACTTACTAAGTGCATAGTTATGATGAGCAAAGGTGCCTCTACCAAAATTGTGAATTTTATAGCCCCAGGGTCAGGGGTTCTGGTGTTACGGCGGGGCTTATGAATTCTTTGAAAATCTTCTCCTCTGCTCCTGGGTATTAAATAAACTAACTAAGTACATAGTTATGATGAGCAAGAGTGCCTCTACCAAAATTGTGAATTTTATGGCCCCAGGGTCAGGGGTTCTGGTGTTACGGCGGGGCTCTATTGATTATATAGTGAAAATACATTAAATCTTTGAAAATTTTCTTCTCTGCTCCAGGGTATTCAGCAGATGAACTACCAATATAGTTATGATGGACAAGGGCCCATATCTTCCACAATTGTGAATTTCAAGGCCCCAGGGTCAGGGGTACCATTTGTACTTATATACTGAAAATGAATGAATGGTTTGAAATCTGCTCCTTGGTATTAATCAAATATCAAGGCCTAAGGGTCAGGGGTTCATGTATGGTAGGGGCACTACTGATTATTGCTGATTACTGATTAGTTGAAATGCATTTTGTGTTCCCTTACCCTGCGTATTATTACAAACTAAGCAACTGCTAAGTGTATTTTATGATGATCAATGGTGCCTCTTTCAAAATTGTGAATGCCATAGCATCTTGCTTAAAACATGAATCAAATTCAATCACTGGAAAGTTGTTGCATAATGCTCAGGTGACCTATAAGGCCCATGGGCCTCTTGTTATTTTTATCAGTCTTGGATAAACAATTACCTTTTAAGATGATATGTAGGGGGTGAAATAACAAATTTCAAAATGTAAGCTTATGACAAAACTGTACAGTAAAAATTGAAACCAAAACAAAATCCTATGCTACTTTTTATTACAAGCTGATAAAAGTAAAATATGTACTCACTGTTAAATGTAAATTCTGATTTTTCTGGTTGGCATTTTAAGTTTGGTTAACTCTCATAGGGATAATTCTTGTAGTTTTTAATATGAACAGAATATGGTTATTTATGAAACTAAGATTGAAACTGTCCACAAGCTTGCCGTACAACTTTCATATACCAGATCAATTAAAACATTTCACAAAAAAAATTATGAAAAAATAACATCGGATATTTTAAATTACAGCATTAAGTGATTTGTGGTACATTGCTTTGCTTTGTATAAATCACTTATCTTAAAAACAACATTGTTCTGCACACGTAAATGTATACAGAACACAAAATATTCCATTTTTCTCTCTCAGAAGCACCTCAAAAATGAAAAAAAAGCAGATGTTCAAAATTTCTCACAAAATTTTATATCAAGCCCTACCTTTGTTCAGTGTTTCAACTTAACTTTTTTGAAATATTGTGTTAAGATGTCAGGACTTGTTCAGTGGAATAAAATTATAAAATATTTAGCTGTTTATCTTTCCTTAATTACTAAAAATTGCTTAATTGTCCATGTTTTTTGTTTAAGTACAACAGATGAAAGACAACAGGAGCTATTATGACACGTTGTATGTTGTCCTTTGATCTGTTATGAATAGTTTTTCCATTTTCCAATTTTTGAATTTTTTTGCAGTTTCAACAATGACACCACAACATGGAGAATCCCATCCCTGAAAAGATCCATCAATTCCAATCTTAAAATTAATGCTTGCATAACTTGTTTCTCCTTCCCCAACAAATGTGGGTCAATATATATCCCCTCCATCTTCTTGGAGATTTTACTTTGTACACATGTACGTACAGGTTTCACAAAATTTGTCGTATTTAATACAAATTCTTTTGAATTTTTTTTTATTTTTGCCTTTCAATTGTCACTTAGTTACAGTCAGACTTAAAGAAATGGAAATTAGCAACTTTAAGACAAAATTGAGATAATATATTCTTTTCAATGAATAGTGATGGGTCTGGATTTCTTTGATGAACAATACGAAGAAGATGGGTGAACATCACGTGCGAAAAGCCTACAGTATAACAAACATGAACATTTTATCGCTATTTTATCAATTTTTCCATCGATATTTGATCTAACATTAAAATATACTTAATGTAAAATATCTACGATTGCAAAAATCTTAAGAAGATCGAAATTATTTGCATGTGAAATATTTCCACACACTTTGAAGAGGGAGAAGGGTCATTTTCTCATCTAAATCGTTAACACTTCTTTCCGATATGATTGGGTCCTCGCTCTATTTTTTTTGTGTAAGTTAATCCAGAAAATTAGCAGAAAAAATATGCATTTTTACTTTACCAAAAATATAGAGCAAAGATTAACTGTACCTTAAAATATACTTGAATGGCATAACATTTGCGTCTTTTCGAGAATACTTGCAGTTAGAATTGAATAAATTCATTTGCATAGATTTTCAAGTTTTACAATAATGGGATTAAAAGTGGCAAAAATTGGTATAGATAAACTGACCCCTGATTTAGTTATGTACAGTGGCAATGTAGTTGAAATGGCCCATGTGTACTCTTGTGTATGTCTTTTTGTCCTTAATACTAGAAAATGATTCTCGTTTCCAGTCTCAACTTGCATAGAAATGTGGTTGAAACCATAGTGCTTAAACCCATTTCTGCATTCTATGTAGCTCGATCAGCGGTATAAATGCATGAAAGAAATCTTTAACATACGTAAAGTGAACTAGTCTTGAGTCAGAACGAGACAAAGATTAAAACAATGCCAATTTTCTTTTCAAAAGAACTTTATTTAAATGACAGGTAAACGAAAAGATGATTTTAATGCGGAAAAATGACTAAAACGCCGCTATCAAACAATAACTACAAAAGTTATGAAAAATGTGACTAAAACGCCACTATCAAATAATAACAACAAAAGTGATGAAAAATGTGACTAAAACGCCACTATCAAATAATAACTACAAAAGTGACGAGAAATGTGACTAAAACGCCCCTATCAAATAATAACTACAAAAATGATGAAAAATTTGACTAAAACGCCACTATCAAATAATAACTACAAAAGTGATGAGAAATGTGACTAAAATCTACTATCAATTAATAACTACAAAAGTGATGAGAACTGTGACTAAAACGCCACTATCAAATAACTACAAAAATGATGAAAAATTTGACTAAAACGCCACTATCAAATAATAACTACAAAAGTGATGAGAAATGTGACTAAAACGCCACTATCAAATAATAACTACAAAAGTGATGAGAACTGTGACTAAAACGCTACTATCAAATAATAACTACGAAAATGATGAAAAATTTGACTAAAACGCCACTATCAAATAATAACTACAAAAGTTATGATGATGATCATATGATGAAGCTTGAAAGAATTGTCACATCTAAAGTAATGGACTTGTTGTTTATGCATCAATCAGTGCTGTGCCTTGAACGTCCACTGCTGCAGTCATTCAGATATCACTGGTTTGCTGTAACACGGAGATCTCCCTGACTTCAGCTAATGTCCTGAAATTTGGACATAAAAAGTCATCAGGGTCACGATGACCAAACAGTTTTTTGAGCCTTGTCCCCATTCTCTCAAACAAGCCTGATCTTTGGAAGTGGAACGTTTGGCCTAACTTGTGTGTCTTGGCGGAATCCTCGCTGTTCTTGGCTAAGAAGTCTTTGGTTTTGGTGAGCTGCCTTTGAAATCGTTTAATCTGTGATTAGAAGAAATCAAATTGAAATCATTATGCAAAAAGTGAATGGGGATCTTTTTTTTTTTAAGCTGAACGACAAACACAGTACGTCATGAAATATACGTAATGCCAAAGCAGGATGCTCCTGAAGAAGTAAGCATGTACTTACATTGAAAATGACTTCCTCACTGTCTTTTAGAATTCGGAGGTATCTTTCAGCTGCCTTGTCTTTACCTAATGAAACCAAAAAAAAAATCCTTGATTGGAGCAATTCCGATTAACAGAAAGTCCTTTTACGCTTTGGCTCAAACCAGAAAGAAACAATAAGTAAACTTAGTTTTAAAAGACATAATTGACTTAATAACTTACCACTTTTGGCCAGATACAAAATATGCTGTGTCCACATTCTCTGAAGTGTATGTAAATCTGTCTCCGTAATCATATTCTTTTTCAAAGCTTCCATGAACAGATAGGCAAAGATAATGTACTTCTTCTGTTCATCTGATAAATAAAAATAGATTTTAAGAAAAAGGATTTATAGTACAATACATATGATCAGCTAATTCCTCATTGAATACTTTTTAAAGTAGAACATCTTGAAACGGTAATTTTATCATTGTCTTACCGGCAATGTCTTTCTTGTTTGAAAATGAAAATCCAACATCTTTGTTTGTAGTGTCTTTTCCGTAGAGGAAAATTAAAATTTGAAGAATGTGTTGTCTCTAAAAAAATGGAAATGTATAAACATTTTTTAGTATTTGTGCTTTCAAATTTCATTAATTGAAAGTTCATCAGAGTTATTAACTTTGCTTGTATGTTGTAAATTCATATATTGAAATGCTTCTTTGATATCGCTCAAATTTCTTAACAATCAGTTTTTTTTTAATTGGTACTTACTACTGGAGTCATGGTCCGTGTGTTTGTCTTGGACAAATACTGAAGCAGACTTGTCCTTAGACGTTGTTCCATTCTTTTGATTTCCATCTTAGCAAACGAAATAGGTTTCACAGACTTACAAAGTGTGTTTTTTCTTGCTGAACGACGAGAGTGGTTCGCAACCTTTATGACGTCAGAGTATTATGATGCATTTTCATTATGACATCATCGATAAAAGTAAAAATTGAAAACGGTTTTCATACGGGAAAATGTAGACAACATGTATTATTCAAAACAGATTATTATAATTACAACTCCCCGCTTGAAAAGTGGGAGTGTATATAGTAATCGGGATGTCCATCTGTCCGTCCCTACGTTTGTACGTCAGCCAGTTACACTTTGGGGTACCCTTCTCTTATCCGCAACTCCTCTTATAAATACCACTGATTGAAATTTAACGAAACTTTCATAGAATCTTTGTTACTTAGTGCTATTGTGACCTCCTATTTTACTTTTTGATCTGCCAAATATTTCGGGTTTCCAATGGCAAAACATGGACACTTCCATTATTATACCCCCGCTTGAAAAGCGGGAGGGTATATAGTAATCGGTATTTCCGTCCGTCTGTACGTCTGTCCGTCCGTACGTCCGTCCTTCCTTCCGTCTGTCCGTCCGTCCGTCTGTTACGCTTTTGGGTACCCATCTCTTATCCGCAACTCCTCTCATACCACTGAAGGAAATTTAATGAAACTTTCACAGAATCTTTATTACATATTGCCATTGTGCACCTCCTATTTTACTTTTTGATCTGACATATATTTTGGATTTTCCAGAGCAAAACATGGATACTGCCAATATATTCATATGGGAGGCGGGGGGTATCATTTAGTGAGCTCGTTGCTCATTTAGATATATATATATAGATATTCTTATCCGCAACTCATCCTTTACAACTGAAAAAAAATTTGATGATACTTTCAAGATTCATTATACCCCCCGCTTGAAAAGCGGGAGGGTATATGGTAATCGGTATGTCCGTCCGTCCGTCTGTCTGTTACGCTTTGGGGTACCCATCTCTTATCCGCAACTCCTCTTATACCACTGAATGAAATTTGATGAAACTTTCACAGAATTTTTATTACATATTGCCATTGTGCACCTCCTATTTACTTTTTGATCTGACACATATTTTAGGTTTCCCACAACAAAACATGGACACTGCCATTATATTCATATGGGAGGCGGGGAGTATCATTTAGTGAGCTCATTGCTCACAGTACCTCTAGTTTCATAATGCCATTATGCACCTCCTATTTTCCTTTTTGATCTGACACTTAATTCTGGTTTCCAGGAGCAAAACATGAACTTTGCCACTATAATCAAATGGGAGGCGGAGGGTATCATTTAATAAGCTCAGTGCTCACAGTAACTCTCGATTTCGAACAGTATTCAAACTTCATGCAAAATCTGGACGATATTATAAGGTACGGTCAACCTGACGTCACTGTATTAGAAATGGTGAGGAATTAAGTTTTAAAATGTAATATTTTCTGATAAAAAGTTGAAATCATAAAATGAAATTAATTTTAATCTAGAGGTACCGTGAACTATGATACCCCCGCTTTCGAAATGGTTATAATGTACTTCCAACTCTTCATGATGAGATTGTCATGAACAGTTGTAATTTACTACTTGTTACATAAAAAAGGAAGATGTTTAAAGTTAAGCGGATGTGTTTGTAATGTTGGTACAGTTCTCCGTCAAAACAAAATCTATATTAAAATTCCTCTTGGAAATCCAATACCCTTAATGATCTTGAATATATATATTTCCTATATCAATTGACTGATTAGAAATCGACCGATACGCATATTTCAAATTGATGCATACTCTTAGTGAATAGATATTTGCAAGACCTTGTTTGTTTTTACCCAGTCCGTTGCATGACAACGATACAAATATTCAAATTTTATCGATTCTGCTCTAAGTGATAGTGTTTTTATAACAAAATAAAGTCTATATCGATTTTTGTTAATGATATCGACATACTGTAACAGCTAGTGAGAACCCCGACATTAATGCCATATTGCAATGTCTCTAATTAGAGAAGATAAGAAAAAATAATTTGAAAGAACAATTCCACTGAATTCCTGACAATTCATATGAATTGCTCTATTCTTCTTAAAAAGTTATATCCATATTTCGTGAGCAGAAAATATTTATCACTCTAGAGGGTACAAACCTAGATATTTTTGATGAGATTTAAAGAAATTTGACAATTATTGATTACACCCTTAAAAGCAATTGCAGAAAATGAATAATTAATTTGAACTATCGATCTCAATCGTAGAAGCCTATTATTCCTCGCCATTCTAGCAGCACTTTCGATCGCATGGTCCCGGGACAAGCCGCTGAAGCAGAGTTAGAGTATCTGGCGGCAATCTATCGCAGTTCGCTTACGAAGGCAGAATTAGCTACCCGTTTCTGAATTGGTGTTCGCTTTAGACATAACAGACCACACCGAACAGACGACAAAGATGTCAATTCATCTGAGTTTTAGCTGATACTTAGAGACTTGAAAGTGATATATATTTGTTCAGGGAAAAAAGTTGTGAAAAAAAAGAATTAAGATGGGAGGTTGTGGTTCGAAAAAGGCAAATCAGAAAGATCTTTTACTAGAGAGTATTGAAGCCCACGAAAAAGGCATCAATTGTATGGCTTTAAGTGAGGATGGTTCCGTCTTGGCTACTGGAAGTGAAGACAGATCTTTACGACTCTGGTGCACGAAGACCAGTCAGTGTGAGTGTATAGGGACGTTACGAGGACATGAAGATTACATAACTTGTATCCTCATCGAGGATTGTTACGTTCTGACCGGAAGTGCCGATAAAACTCTCAGAAAATGGGATGTAAGTACTTTGGAGTGCGTTTTGGTCTGTCGTGGACATACTTCGGTTATATACCGCATGATCTGTACAGGGGACTTTATTTTCACGAGTTCCTACGACAGAACGGCCAGGTGCTGGGATTTCGACAATGGGGAATGTTTGAGAGTTTTCAGGGGACACAAGCGAGGGGTTTATCCCTTGATATTTATACCCGCAGACGACGATGAAATGGATGATGACGTTGATCCCGATGGAAGTAAAGACATTCTAATTACTGGATCCGCCGACTGCACGGCAAGATCCTGGAATTTCGAAACAGGACAATGTCTTAAGGTATTCAAAGGAAAAGACCGCGACGGCAACAATGTGGGACACACAGGGGCGATAACCTGTATGGCGACGGATGCCCTTGGGCGAATTTTGTTTACCGGAAGCACAGATAATACCGTCAGGAGCTGGAATCTTCTGCGTGGGGAACAGTTAAAGGTATTTTCCGGCCACACTGGTTCCGTCATCTGTATGCAGGTTGGTATCTCCTGGAAAAGCTATACATGTAGTCCAATAACACCTATTATAGATAAATCTTTTTGTGTGTTCGCACAATTGTTGTGTTTTCTTCTGATTCTTACCTTTGATCCCCGTAGACGAACACTCTTACAAAGATTTCAAAATAAACGTTTCTGTTCTTCATATTTGTAACAATTTTATCATCTCCAAAAACACAATTTTCAAAACCAATAACACGATTGTAGGAACTGAATTTCACTTAAGAATTATTGTTAAGACCAAGGTCAAGGGATATGTTGAAAGCCCTGACAAAAATTTTTCGGAAATACAGGCAATATTTCATGAGTAAATAATTTTCAAAATCCAGTATTTAATCTCTGATTATGAATCTTTTTAAGTTTTATGAGAATATTTGTAATCTAAAAGTTTTAGGTGAAGAAAATGCATATTGTCAAAATTTTTTGTCCCCAAATTCCATGAAACAATGCTATTTTTTCCGAACGGTATTAAACTCGTTCATCATATTTTGCTTTTTCATCTGTATTATCAGTTTAATTTATCAAAAACATTAATTAAGAATCTATATGCAGTTATGAATAACGCATACGCATGAATTCCAAAATAAGCAAATTCCATTGTTGACCGACCCAGCATTCCAAGAATTCTCCGAAGTTCTACTTTACTGTGCGCTGCAGGGAAAGACATCTCAATATCCGGTACATAAAAATAGCAGCACGACGCCCGATGCGGGGAAGGATATAATTGCACTGTCATTTACGCGGGTTATAGTTTTTTTTCCATTTTCAGGTTAGAATTCATCAACTTTTTTGTGCATTAACCTTTTCTATAATATTTAAACTAGGTTTACTTTTCAATTGATGCAGTGAATACTTAATATGTATTGATCGGAATTTCATCAATTAAAGTCATGTAAAAAAAAAAACGAATAAATTATAGAACAGGAAAAATAAATAACACAATGTTTCCTGTTAGTCAAAATCAAAATTACTTTTGCAAGCTTCAGCTTAACCTTTGTTTAGACTTCTATCTTTTTTTCTGAAGAAAAAGCAAAAGTAGTTGGTACACCAATACCAGTTCGCATTTTTAGCTCACCTGAACCACCCCGTCCCCAAAAATGAGCTCACTTGAATTTTTCTGGTCTATCAGAAACAATTTAGATTTTGTCCTCAGATTCCAAACAAAAATTAAACCATACATTCCGTTTGTCCAAAATAAAACAAAAGCCTAGGCTTACGGTTTTTCATAATGTAAACAATACAAAATGTAAAATGTAATTCTGAACCTAATTAATCGTCATGCAGTGTGGATTCAAGATTATTCTTAAAACTTTGATTTGTCAAAATCCGACGCAACTCGGGTGATCATTATATTGCCCATGGGCATTTTTCACGATTTTACAGTTATATCAAACTTGTTGGACATTAACTTATTTCTACGTGTTCTATCATCCCAAAATAAACATCAAAATAAACCCAAAACGAAATGTTTCCTGATGACAAATAAACGGAATCCAGATAATTATTATAGTATGACATTTTACAGAGCTTCTAATAAATTGACGCACTTTCGTTCTTTACGACCTGAATTAGACATTTTCTTTGATGTGGCAGTGTAGACCTGACAATTAGTCATATACTATATATAGTTGTTTATAACTTTTTCTTGGATTTGGGGGAAAAAGTAAAGTCAGACGAATTTTTATTTACATGTATATTTTAAGGTCACGTGATCTGGCCTATTGTTATCCATGTTTGTTTGTAGTTGTCTTTCGCTCCTTTCGAGTTCTCTATGACTACAAAATTAATTATATTCTATTTTGTCTTTAAAATGATAACTGTATCAGAATTAATCCACTTTTTTCTTCAGTCGTGCATAATAACAAGATAAGAAGTAGATGAATGCTCCGCATTTTTTGAAAATTACATAAACTTTCAAACATCTTCGTGTTCTTAGGAACACAATTTTACTGTCGATTAAACTGATATAAAAGTTAAACAATGGTTTTTCAAAAATATCATCATGGCTTGGTGCTGATTTTAAACGATTATTGGTTTAAAGAAAAAGAATATCTACCAAGGGGGTGGGGAGCGCTACCAAAAGACGTTTCCTCAACAAGCTGCTTTGTGTTACTGATGCGATCGTTTTGGATATCAGGCTTCTCTTTTTACAGAATACATGTATGAAACAATATGAGCCTAATGGGCACATTTAATGGAACATTTTTCTTTTCCATTTTAAAATTTTTTGATTGTAATTTTTTAATTTGAATTATTTAGAACCTTAACTTTATCATTTCCAAAGTTTGGTATATGTAATTACTTCCTGATGACTTTGACCTAAATTACTATCACAGGGTCATTTTTCTGGTTTCTTCTCTTGGGAATGACACATAGCAGCCAAGGGGTAAATTGTCACACGTCGAATCTCAAAGATATAATCTTGTTCATAATCCAGCAGTGTAAATTGATTTAACATTTCATTAATAATTAATGCTATGTTAGGCTTTGATCAAATACTTGTCCGATTATACCATACGTGTTAACATCTATATCATTAGGCAAGACATGACAAATTATTTATAAGCATTTCATTAGATAAAAAATATCATACCTGCTGTTTGGAAAACCAACCCTATAATGGACTGCATTTTGTAATATAGCCTAAAAGTCATGCAACATTGTATTTAACTTGCTTGCTTAAATACATTCAATATCAGTTCCCTTGTCAAGGAAATAAATAATTCATCTCAGTAAACTGGAATTGAGTAACTTCTGGTATGTGCCCAAAGAGGGAAGCGTGTAATTTAGGTGTACTAATCATCCGCTCTTAATATCGGTCACTAAAAATATTAAAATAAAATAATCAAAACTGATTTTCATCAACAGCAATAGAATTAGACAGTATAAAGTATCAAACTGTCTAATCATGATAGAAATCTGAGAAAGAGAATAGAAGGAGCAATAGCAACATGAAATTAAAGACATGAGGTACAAACCGTTTTACATTCAACTTATCATTAATTAATCACTGTTTTTTCTTTTAGACGAAAAGTGTCATACCTGGTATTTCTTTTTTTTATGAAAGCCAAATATAGAATAATCGAAATAATAATTGTAAAACATGGATGTCAAAAAATAAATCAAGGCAAAATTCTTCAATGACTGAATATTACAAATTTATTGTAAACGTGATTATTTGCATTATAAACTATAAAATATGTATGTACGGTTCACCTTTAAAAAAGTATCAACTTACAGTATCATATAAATAATATTTTAAAGTCAAAAATCAAAAATTCTTTCAAGAATCGAACTCCCACTATACCAAACCACTGGGACACGCTGACATTCCTAAATACTTATTATTAGAAGAAATACGAAACTGACATTCAATTTTCATAGTTGACGTACTTCCTTTCGAAATAATATGACAACTAGTAAACGATCTCTAACTTGAAACAAATCCGTTTCAAACACTGTACATTATTGGTTCAATAGTCAACGGGATCAAATGTTTTGGTTACTGTAAAATACTCAAAGCATTTTTTTTTTTTCATTTAGAATTCAAGAAGAATTTTTCTTTGGAGATACATTGTCTGTATGCAAACATACACATCTAAACATAGTTCAGATAAAGACCTTCGGGAAAAAATGCATAAGCAGAAAAAGAAGACTATAAAATATACATTACAGATATGTAGACGCGAAGCATACTTCTTTATGTAAAACTTCATTAAACTTTAATTTCTGACAAAGATATTCAGGAATGAAAAATATGAAGATCAAGAAAATAAAGTTTTTGAAATATACATAAGGCCCTGTCACACCGAGCTGCGTCCACACGGAGTCATTACCGCGTTGTAAAATTTTTAAAATCGCCGTGGCATCGCAGGGAAATTGCTCAAATTTCTGTAGTATTTTCATACCCTGAAGATCTCACGGCGACCGACGCGTTTCTACTGCCTTCTCACGGCGTTCCATTGCGTTTCCACGGAGATCTCCTCGCGATTGACTGCGCTTCCACGGAGTTTTCACGGCGTGATAGGAGTTGTCACCTCGCGTTCACGGCGTTCTTACTGCGCTGGCTGCGTTCACAATACGTTCACAATGCGCTCTTCACACCCATGGATATATTCAGAAGGAGTGTAAAATATTTTTGTTTAAAGATTCAAATTACATGATGAAAAGACTTCTATTCATCTCAAGAAATATAATTTTAAATTAAAAATGATCCATTAGAATAATTCAGTACTTAATTATTAATCGTCTTATTATGTTCCCCAAACGAAGTTGGGGAACATATTGTTTTTACTCTGTTTCTTATTATTATTATTATTATTATTATTTTTCTTCTTCTTCTTCCTGGGTACTTTTTTGTCCGGGTATGATCTTGTAAACTGTACGTCCGATGTAGGTAAAACCTTTTTAGGGTCAGTAGACATGTTATGTAGATTTGCGGAATCAAGGTCATTTTGCGCGCACGTGCTTGCAAGAGCGTGCACGTGCAACACGTGAAATGACCAATATAATGGATATTGCCGTAACTTTTCTATTTTTTGATGATTTTTTTGGAAACTCATAATGTAAGGATACATTAGTAATATAGACAAGATGACATGGTCAAAATAGCAAGATCTCACGTGCATGCACGTGCGCTTCGCTCTGATTGGCTGAAACTAAAGTCTCAATATCTTTCTTGTTTTTTGACAAAATCCTTTGAAATTTTGAACATAGCCATGCATTAGGATATCCTACAACATAATATATAGCAATTATCATAAAAACACGTGCATGCACGTGCGCTGCAATCTGATTGGCTGAAACTTTAAATAGCTATAACTCACGTGGTTTACAACCAAACAGAGTGGGATTTGGATCATAGATAGATATAATGGACTTCTACAAGAAGGTATGGTCACCATGCACATGCATGCACGTGCGTGTACATGCGCTGCAATCTGATTGGCTTAAAATTTAAACAGCTATAACTCCCTTGGT